TTTCTCCTCTTTGTCTTGTTTCTGCTTCTCCATCTGCTTAATTTGATTTCCATTTCCCTTTTCTTGCTCTTCCAGGCTTTTGTGAATTTCTTCTATCTCTTTAATCACTGATGTGTTACATTCTCCATCAAAATTAATAATACTGGAGCTCTCCATCTCTGAAGTCTGTGTAGAAAAACCCATGAGCATTTGTTCCTTCTTTTCATTAATTTGGCAGCTCTCCAAAGTATTGCTCATATTTATCTGTGTGTTCTCCAATTCTGTATATGGTTCTATTGGCATAGTTGTTGCTATTGCTAAATGAGAAAGTTTTTCAATGCTCGATCTCATCTCACACCAGTCAGACTCTAATTTATCATCAGAGGAACCCAAGCTGATCCTTGTGGGGTCATCTGGAGATTGGGCAAGAATGCAAGAGGTGCTGATTGAATATTCTGTTTGCACTGATATATTTTCCTCTTTGGTGTAGATATTTGTAGGGTCTTCCTGGTTTTGTGACTTTTCAGTTTTTATAAAGGACCTCTGATTATCCAAACATGAAGTTTTGAAAACCTCTATGGGTAATGAAGGATGGATCTGTTCAGGTAGGCTGTCAATACCTGACTCTATTGTTTCATTTGTAGTGGCTAAAAGTTCTGGTCCTTGTAGGGGAAATAAACATAAACTTTGGCAAGAATCATCCTGGAACAAGCATTCAGTGAAAACTTGTGTGCACACTGTTGAAACTTCTCCAAGTGGAGGATTTGGCTGCCTGGATGTAACTTTTGGAAGGTTTGTTTCAGTAAATTTGATGTCTCTTGGGTACTCTCGGATACCACCGGTATAATAGTTTTGATTGTAAGAAGCTTCTGCCTTCTCAACATGTTTACACTGAATTGGCTCAGAAAGAGTTTTGGTTGGGTTTACTGTATGTTGTGGGTTCTGTTCTGCTGATTCATTGCAGATGCCAACACTAATATCATGTACTGTCTGTTTTGTAAATATGCAAGACTCTGGCCAAATGTCTGGGGTCTCGTGGGCTTTGACCGCTCTTTGACTCTCATCCTCCAGTTCCCTAAATGACCTATCCAATGGTTTTGGAAAGAAGTCTTGTCTCTCTGTTTCCATGTTTTTAAAAACCTGATAATAAAGTGGGGCTACAATGGTCCCAAATGTGAAGCCATGGGAGCACAGCTGAGGCTCTGAATTAGTTTTTAAACTCACATTCTCTTTTGGCTTGCCATCGCTAGTATT